TGTGATGATATAAGCATAAGAGGCTAGAATGAGGAGAAAGCAGGTCATAGTTATAAAGTTCATGTCAATAACGAACATCAGTTCATTGAATGTTATGTCCACACAGACCAGCTTAAGGATGGATGGAATGTCACAGAAGACATAGTCAATATAATTGTCCTCTCCATAAGGTGCATGAAAGGTGATAGTTGTCTGAAATGCAGAATTGAGGATGCCTCCAATTATGGTACCCAAGGAGAGGGTGAGACAGGTTTCCCAGCTCATGATGTTGCTATAGTGGAGTGGTTTACAAATGGCCAAAAAGCGGTCATAACCCATCAAAGTGTAGAGAAAACATTCTGCACACCCAACAGGGGTAAAAAAGAACACCTCTGTTATGCACCCTGGAAAAGAAATGATCTTTCCTCTAGAATTGAAGCCTGCAATAACCTTGGGAACCACCACAGCTGAAAAGGCCATGTCCAGGATAGAGAGTTGACAGAGGAACCAGTACATGGGCTTGTGCAGTTGAAGGTCCGAGATCACCACCAAGATGATCAGAGAATTTCCAGAAATGGTAAGTGCAAACATGGTTGAGAAGAAGAGAATCAAGGGGACCTTTAATTCTTCTGTACAAGGAAACCCAGAGAGGATAAATTCATTTGGTGCTGTTTGATTTGGGCACTCCATATAGTACTTTTGCTTTAATCACCCAACCTGTGGAGCAGGTGAGATTTTATGATAAAAGGAGTTATATTAAGTCTCAATGTGGGAGATGCCCTTTCGGACTTAATTATTTTCCTGAAAGATCTTGTATCTTGCCCAGAAAAACAAGAATTTAATATCTAAAATCTTGCCTACATTTGCATGGATCCAGAGAGTGCATCCCTATGGACCAACCATGAACATGTGGAAGAGAAATACTCCTTATGTCTCAAAATTCTATGTTATTTGGAAAGAAATAAGAGCTGGAAAGAAGAATGTATTATGACGTCGGAAGCGTATTTTTTCAATTATCTTGTGCTTATCTTGTTCATATTTAACCACTGACTAACAGATTGGGCTACAAGAGAACCAATGTCCCCAACATAGCTGGTGAGGTCAGAAATGCCAGAGAAAGATCATTTTCAAATATCTTGCCAGATAACCTCTTGAGAAGAACTGAAGGCCACCAAGCAAAATCACTGCAATGTTTTCCTTCACACATCAAACTGATAGGAAAATGAAATATGGTTCTGGAGTTGATGGAAGTCCTTTTACATGGGTGGAAGAAATCTGATTCTGCATATAAGCTTCATAGAAAAAAGATAGGAGTGAAGCTTCCATCAATCTAACAGAAGATTGTGTGGAGCTGGGGAATAAACAGCTTTTACACTGGGGAGGAAACCATGCAATTCTTGAGAAACCATGAGAAAGTATCTCATGTGAAAATAGGAAGGACAAGATCCAACTCAAATTTCCATCTTATATGCACATACACATTCCATATACAAGTTGAAAAATGTCCATCTTCAAATGATCATGTGGCCCTGAGTCACCTTATAAGGTAGATATAAGTGACATAAAATAAATGTGAAATGTGAAAAATAATTTACGTTAGCCTAATATACCTTTTAACAACAATGCTGAAATTCCAGAAGATTCACAGATCATCGCACAGCATGCAAAACCAGCATTGTACTGTACATAGATTTTTGGGACATCATTTGCCTCTTCACAGACCTATTCCAACATTGTAATTCATATAGTGTACAATGCTGAGTTTCTCTCTGTGGTTTAAAAGTTGATAAATAAATAAAAATTTTGAGGAAGGAGTGACTCAATTCATTTCTCTTCTTTTCCAAAGTGAAATTGGTTGGTAGGATTGAAAGGACAGCAGTTCCAATGCTGCTCCCAGAAGAGCTGGTGGAATATTTCGATGAACAAACTTTTAATTTTCTTTCTTAGGTTCACTGGACTCCTTATAGAAAACAAACAAGCTTTGTCTTGATGATAGCAATGTACTTTTCGTTGCTCCAAGATGGAGTCCTAAACCGAGCATAGAGTTGAAGATATCATGTTTTCTTTCCAAACTTTAGTTGGCATAATTAATTGCAAAAAACCCAACAAATGTAGCCTGTTTTTTTTTTTAAAAAAGTCAGTTATTGTGAGATACAGGTTTGTGGTATGCCAAGTCTCCACCAAGCCATGATAGTTCTTCTCAATTACACTGAGATTTTTTCCCCTTTGAAATCTAGAGGTACTTGGAGTTTTGTTCTGAGGATCTTATGAACTCCTGCTTAATAAGACCTCTCAATGTGAAGAATTAGGCAGCATCATAAATCTTCATGACTCCAGGAGTATTTTGAGTCTTCTGTTTACATGTGTTTTTATATTTATTTTATTTATTTTATTTAATTTAATTTATATGCCGCCCTTCTCCCGACAGGGACTCAGGGCGGCGCACAACATATTTAAAACCAGAACATATATACAATCCCCCCCTTAAAACCGAATTAAACCGAATTTTAATGTTGCGTCTTCCGAATATTTAAAACCCAATGTAAAATCCACCCTAGGTCAGGTCCGCTTGCTGGAA